AAGTGCAACTGTGACATTTTCGTTGCATAAAAAATCTCTCTCGAATTCTGGATTGACAATCTTTACTAACGAGTTCGAGTTAAAAAGAAAGCCCTTTTAAAATCATCAAGTGGTTGGAAATGCATAGTGGGTGGGTATACATGGACCATGGATGGGTCCTGCAGACAGAAGCTGGTCACGATCAGCGAGCAGGCTTCAAAATGGTTGCTTGCTTCAATCATGCTATTCCATCAAAGTCATCTAATTAACTATATGCAACATGCAAAAGCATACATATCACAAACTCTATATATACCAACCGTAGATATATGTAGAGTAGTAAAAATCCAACGGCTGATGATTCACCAAGTGCATACAACTCATTGATGGGGCCCTAACAAGCTGTTTTGTATGAGCAAAAGTGCAAAACAATGAGAGCAACTTTTAATCTCACACTCACCCAAATGACTAATAGGTCATGTCATGATTGAGCTCCCACGGTGGCATTCATCTCCATAAAAATCCTCAAAATTTGAAGGTCCGAATGGAACTGCCTGTCGCAATATTGCAAATGGGACAAAGTTAATTTGACTATTTTCAAGCTTCAACATCATTTAGGGTTCCATTAATGTACAAACTTCCCCTCTAGATATTTATGTTAGTAAAGCTTTACAATTAGGAGCTTTGTTTATTTATATTTTCTTTATCATATTATTACAAACGATATTACTATTCTAAGTTATGTTAAGGACAAGGACGTAGGCAGCTGAGGCTCACCGGGGATAACTGCTCCCGCTAAAATGTTGTGCAAAGTTAATAATCATGATGCTCATAGAAGGGGTAGAAAACGTATTTGTCATGTTATTCATGCTCCTTCAAATGATCAATTGAAATTTTCAAATAATATGTATAATAACAAGTGATCATTATAAAAAGAAAAAAAAATGCCTACAAGTTGGCTTAATGAAATTTGAGAAGAAAGAAAAATAGCAATGAAATTACATAAGATCTACTACTATCATTAAAAAAAAAAAAAAAAAATCTCAAGTATAACTAGAGGTTAAGGTCGCTCCCACTAAAGAATTATTCTAGCTTTATCCCTAGCTAAAGAAATGACAAATGATTGAATTCTAGATGCACTGTGTTGAAAAAGGTCCTATCCATTGTGATAATCCCTAACTTATGTTTATTTCTGACTTTTGAATTGAATCAGAAAACTTTCAAAAAACATAATAATCAAAGCTGTGTCGTTACCATTTCACATTTCATTTTTCTCTTTAATGTGTACATGCGTGAAGACAAAATTACGGGAGCTTTGTTTGTATTAATTTTTGGGCCTATATCTTCGGGTTGAAGCATTTTTGGATTAAGGCCCATAAAAATTAGGAGGTGCCTGGTTGGAAACTTGGAATAAATGGGAACGAGATCATATTTTGGGTTTTGGATTTTGGATTTTGGGCTTTTTATCTTTATTGATGACTCTTCATCAACAGTGAGCAGCTAGTTATGAATCTATCATCAAATATCACTTCGATATCAGTAAGTCAATACAATCGTTAATTTATAATAATGATTAGATCTATTAAGTAATTTATTATACTAATAACAAAATGATTCGGTTTGACGATTGAGATACACCTGAGTCATTGACTACTATGCATCTCAACTGTCTATACGTTACTTTTTTCTTTAACTACAGTAATATATTTACACTAAGGTGGTGGGGAGTTTGTGAGCTAAGCTGCACAATGAGTCTACTGTAACAAATTAGTATTGAACTGGCCATATACGAAAATTTAATCTAAGACCTCTCGCATGTATGTAGAAATAAATATCACTCAACTATAATACTAAATGATTATACATTACTTCTTGAGCTAACTACTCATTAGATTGTTTACATTAACTTCTCAAGGAGAAATTTTTGGGAGTGACGGGAACACACACCTCAACAAAACAGGTGGTGTTCCCAACCTATTAAATTTTGATAGCTAGATTTTGTCATTTGCTCACTTAAAAATACTTGGAGAAGTTGAAAAATCAAAAACCAAAATATTCCTGTTAACATCCTCCGTTTCTTTCTTTCAATTGAAACTTTGAGGGAAGTTGCAAAGGCTCAATTTCTTTTTTGTTTTTGTAAAATAACAAGAATTCCCTCCATTTCTCACGCACTCAAACCCAAACCAAGGTATTATGGATGGAGACTCAAACCTATACCAAAGTAGCTTTCTGCATGTATGATTTTTAATTTTGTTAGATTTTTATGGGTAGAATAAATGGTATGAAAACCTTAAATGTTTCAATTGAAAAGCTCTTGTGTCGTCAGACGATCACAACAGGGCTACTACCAAAAAATTTTCTTTTCCAGTTTAGGGTTTTTCCAAATTATGGATGGAGACTTAGTCTCATCACAACAGGGTTGGCAGCAATCTGAAGTCCATCTTCTTCCTCGTCCTTAAAGTATGAAGGAGGAAAATTGCCCGGCTGGAAAAGGGAAATATTGTGAATTGGGAATTTGCTAAAATGAATGGTGAAATATTGCGTAAATCTGTGTACAGGAATGAGTTTTGTGAAAATTTTGTGAAATTTAGCATTTTGAAGCGTTTGGTTTTATGGGTTTGATATGAAAGCTAATTCCGGTTTTTCATGCCGCTTGAGTGGCTTTGGGAGGTTGTAGCAGGGGATGATGATGTTAACTCTTTTGTATATTTGTATTACAATTTACAAGGGATGCAGTGTATGGAGGATGTTAACAAAGTTTGCAAGAGCTTTTTAATTGAAAGAAAAAAACAGAGGATGTTAACAGGAATCTTTTGGTTTTTGACTTTTCAGCTTCCCCAAGTATTTTTAAATGAGTAAATGACAAAATTTAGCTGTCAAAATTTGATAGGTTGGGAACACCATCTGTCTTGCTGAGGTATGTATTTCCGTCACTTCCAAAAATTTCTCCTTCTCAAAGACTTGAGGCTCCAAATGATGCATTAATTAAATATTAAAGAATTAATTAAAATGGATAGGAGAACTGATTAGACTCAATTAATTAATATTTGTTGGATGCTAAGTTTCAATTTTTTTCCAATTAATGTAAAATATGGATGATTCATGCAAGAAACTTAGTTATCCAAATCCTATCATTCTTATGGACATTTTTAATGGGTACGTTTTGTTCATGACTAATTCATTTTTATTCTTCAACTAAAAAATTACATAAATTTTGTTTTTCCAACAAAAATTAAATCAAAGGAGTTATCCAATCTAATTCCATCATTAAGACACACACAACAAAAAACAATTAAAAAAAAATAAAAAAAGGAAAAAACACTATTTTCTTTCTCAATTCTTCATATTTTCATTTATAAAAGAGAAATGCTAACTGGGGTCGCTGACTTGTTGCAACCACGCGTCTATCGTATTACCGCCAAATATGCATATGACCCACATAGCCGCCGTCAGCACTATCCCAACAGAAACAAACGTCCGTTACACTCCAACGCGGACGTCACCTCAAGATTGTTGTGCTATATGGAAATGAAGACGTTTTAGGCAGGTTGCCGGTTGCCCTTATCCAATAGTAGCAACGTCCGTTACACCATCCACAACATGGCCGTTAGGATTGGCCAGGTGGCAGCTATGCCGGCCTAGGTGTTTCATTTAAAGGTTGGCACATTTTAGTTTTAGAACTATTGGAAATTAGAGTAGAGTTGGAGGTATCGAAATGAGATTTCTCCATATTTGAAGCCCCATTTAAATATTATCATGCCACCAACTAAAGTACTCGCTACTCATTCTCACTTGCTTCAAAATGCTTTTTTTTCTACTCAAAAGTAAAAGTTTTTTTATCATGCAAGTGATTAATTAATAGAGCACGTTTGGTGACTCTCATTAGATCAGATTGGATAATTTACTAGATTCAACGTACGTTGATACAGAAAATGAACGTCAAATCAAAATCTTGTCCAAACTGAAGATAGAAGTTAAATTATTCTGAAAAAAAATTTATCCTTTAATATTCATTTTTTTTTGTACTTTGAATTTAGTGAGTTATCTAATATAATCTCTTTTTCATCTCTTTTCGCTTTCCTCTCTCGCCTTTTCTCCTCATTTCTTTCTTCCTCATTCTCTCAAGTTGACCATGTGGAATAATGTCAAAGCTGGCATGGCATTGGCAACCACCAGATCATATTTGACTACCTCTAATTTGGTGGCTGCTGATTTCGTTAATATTAGATTTGGGTCAATATGATGAGAAAGATAGATACAGGAAAGAGAAATAAAAATAGATAGAAAAAGATACATAGAAATAAACTAAGAGGAAGAGGAAATGGAAAAGAAGGGGTGGGAGGTCGGAGGAAGAGGAGTCCCGGATAAGAGGACATGAGTGATGTTCTTGTCGGTGTTGGACATGTTGGTGGTGGGTGGGTTTTTTTTTTTCCTTTTATTTTTAATTTAAAAGGGTAAAAAAAGAAAGTTCGGGTGAAAAAAAAAGGGATGGGTTGTCATAACGATTGTCGTCCATCATATTTGAATACATACTTTGGTAAAAACAAAGTGAAGACTAATTATCACTATACCAAATAGTCATTAGCCTTTTATAAGGTTTAACGAGATAACTGAAAGTTGAAATATTCTCAAAATATGCTATTTCGTAAAACGACTATTCTAAGCATATGTTGTTTACAAACTTTACAGTCTACACTAAATAAAGTTTTTTACCTCAGAAATACTTAGGTCTACTTTCGTATTTATCTTATCGAAAAATTTAGAGTCCTTGAATTTGCATATTAATCGACATCCCAACATTTATTAATATCTTATTGATAAATGAACTCAAATTTAAATCACTCAAACACTGTCACGTCATTTCACAATGTAACATGTTTAGACACCACCACAAACACACACCCCCATCCACCAATGAAAATTCCATAATTGCCAATTCAAGGGTTAGAATTTAACCATGGTTAGGGTGGGAAAAATGTTGGGTTAGGAAAGCCCATGCTCTGTTTTATATTTTTTGGTATTTGGGAGAATGCCATTGCAGGTTGTGAGAAGTTGTGTTTTTGAGAAAAGGGGCCAGCTTTTGGGGATTTTTGAGATTTGGGCTAGAAGGAGGGGCCGAAAAAAAGAAAAAAAAAACTGGTGAAGGAGGTCTGTCCATGGTGTCTCTCTGCGATTCAAATTCCTCAGCCAGCGTAGCTCACATAATAAGGTGATTAAACTCATCTCTGAATCTAGGGTTTCCTAAAATTTAGTGAATTTCATGCCTGAATCATTGATTCTAGGGTTTGATTTCCGACTTATAATTATCAAATTCGAGGTCTTTCGTTAACAATTCGATTTTTTGGAGCTGAATTGGAACTTATTGAGTTAGATCCATGGCTGAGATTTCTGATTTCATTTCTCTGATATGGGTTGTGCTTTTGACTTTCATTGATTTTGCATCTGTGTAGTTATGTGCTGCATGTTTGTTTGAGCTAATTACCAGTTCGCTGGTCAATTTTGAGCCTCAGAGCTAAAACTAGACGCATATATTTTCGAGATATGCGTATGAATTCATATTTTGTTTATGTTGGGGTTGCGTGGTGAGGATGAGGGTCTTGAAAAAGCTCGAAAAAGCGTTGTTATTTTCGATATGTATCACGGATATGTATTTGTTGTGGGATTCTTGTGTTTGCATGCAACTTTCATCACAATTTCTAACTGGATTTTTATCTAATTTGACAATAAGGTTGCTGAATCGCTAGAGTAACTGGGAGCATTGTAAAACAGTAGGCAAACATTAGAGAGGAAGAAGATAGAGTAGGAATATGGAGTGCAACAAAGATGAGGCGGCTAGGGCAAAAGAGATTGCGGAAAGAAAGTTCACAGCAAAGGATCTTATGGGAGCAAAGAAATTTGCCTTGAAGGCTCAAACTTTGTTTCCGGGGCTAGAGGGGATTCCCCAAATGTTGGCGACCCTCGATGTGCATATCGCTGCGGAGAACAAAATAAATGGGGAGGCTGATTGGTATGGGATACTTGGTGCGGATCCGAAAGCAGATGATGAGGCGGTGAAGAAACAGTATAGGAAACTAGCTCTTATGCTTCACCCTGATAAGAACAAGTCTGTAGGAGCTGATGGAGCGTTTAAGCTACTATCAGAAGCATGGAGTTTGTTGTCTGATAAATCTAAGAGAGTAGCCTATGACCAGAAGAGGAGAGTACACCAAAGGGTAGCGACTGCGAGTGGGAGTTCGCAGGCTCCTCCGGGGGCCAATGGTTTCTACAATTTCACAAAAGGTGCAACATCAGGCGCACAGACTCAGAAGGTTTATACACAGACTCAGAAGAGTACCGCACAGACTCAGAAGGGTACCTCACAGAATCAGAAGGGTACCTCACGGGCCGGCCGCTCTTCAGCTCCTGCTTCATCTCAAAAACCAAGACCGAATACCTTTTGGACAGTGTGTCATAAATGCAAGATGCAGTATGAGTATCTCAGGATTTATCTTAATCATAATCTTCTTTGCCCGAATTGCCACGAACCATTTCTAGCAGCAGAAATAGCTCCACCACCTACAAATGGTGCCAAGTCAGCTCCACCAAAGCATGAAACAGCTGATAGAATGGGTGTGGGATCTGCAGGCTTCAGTGGTAATCAATCGTACAACCAAAACAACTTCCAATGGGGTCCATTCTCTAAAGCATCGGGTGCTTCTACGGCTGCCCAAGCTGCAAGCGTAGTTAGCCAGGCATATGAGACAGCAAAGAGAGAGCGTGAGCACGCTCAAGCAGCATTAAAAAGAGAGGAGTTGCGGAGGAAGCATCAAGCCGCCAAGAATGCTGCGAAGAGAAGAAGAGGAATGGAAGATGTCGGTGTCAGCAGCTACGGAAGGGATGTCACAAATCAAATCGGTGTGGGAGCTGGAGGAGCTGGAACAACTCATTTTTCTGGATCAAATGGAAACGCAAGGCCCAGTATCACAAGGGATATCTCCCAGATTGAAATTCAAAGTTTACTAAGGGAGAAGGCTAGAAAAGAAATTCTGAAGAAACTAAACGAATCCACTGTATCCAAGACTGCAGCCAAAGAGACGGGGATTGGGAATGAGAGAGAAAAATATTTGGGAAACATTGATGTGCATAACAATCAAAAGCATTCCGGTGAGCCGGTAGACACAAAGAATGGTTCTTCTGACATGAAAGGTTCTGGCATTTCTGGTGTCCGTTCAAATGCAGACACATTGACAATAAATGTTCCTGATTCTGATTTTCATGACTTTGACAAGGATCGAGCAGAGAAGTGTTTTGAAGATAATCAGGTCTGGGCTGCATATGATAATGATGATGGGATGCCAAGGTTTTATGCATTAGTTCAAAAGGTGATTTCTGTGGATCCTTTCACAGTGCGCATCAGCTGGCTAAATTCGAAAACAAATAGTGAACTGGGTCCTCTTAACTGGGTATCCTCTGGCTTCTCAAAGACGTGTGGGGAGTTCCGGGTAGGGAAATATGAAGTGAGTAATTCACTTAATTCTTTCTCTCACAGAGTTCGGTCAACAAAAGGTCCTCGGGGGACTATTTGCATATATCCCAGGAAGGGGGATGTTTGGGCGCTATACCGGAATTGGTCCCCGGACTGGAATGAACTGACAGCTGACAATGTCATTCACAAGTATGACATGGTTGAAGTTGTTGAAGACTTTAGTGAGGACCAAGGTGTGCTTGTGACGCCCTTGGTGAAAGTGGCTGGCTTCAAGACAGTATTTCACCGGCACTTGGATCCCAGAGAGACCAGGAGGATCCCTAGAGAAGAGCTGTTTCGGTTCTCTCATCAAATCCCTTCAAGCTTGATCACGGGTCAGGAAGCTGCAAATGCTCCAAAGGGTTGTCGGGAGCTGGATCCAGCAGCTACTCCGTTGGAGCTTCTTAAAGTTATAAACGACCTTAAAGAGGAAGATACGATGGAGATTGACAAAAAGTGTCAGCAAGTCGATGTAGCAGATGATGTAGAAATGATACTGGCATAGATATAGCAGCCAATTCCATTCCCGTCACGGAAGAAGCAAAAGGGAGCTGATATATGCAGATAGAATTTGCTGCGACGTATTTTGGGGCCATGCAGCATGAGTTGGAAAACTGAATTTTTGTGGAAAGTTTGTAATGATACTCCTTACGGCTTACCTCGCATCATCTGCAGCAGAGTCTGACAGGTGAAATGCCATGTGCCCAGGGAGTTGAAGCGGCTGAGACGCTGAAGGCCCTTTCACTGCAGCTCAATCCGAGATTTTGCTCGCGGCATTAGAAGGTGAAAGCGTGAAAGCCCGGAAATTGACATACCCTCTTCCAACAGCCATTTTTTGTTTCCTGTGAAGGATGTATCTCTAATTATTGGTTGTCCATGAGCTGATGCTCCATTCCCTTGATGTAGTTGCTATGACCTGCCCAATCGCATCTTCTTGCCGCATGTTTTGTGTAAAACTCTAGTGTTGCTGTTAGTCTTCTGATTACTTATCAAATAGTCGTGCATTCTGATACCCCATTTCATTTCAGTTCACGAGAGACATGGTTTTCTGATTTATTTTCTTTGTTTCTGTAAACTCTTATGAAACCGGGCGAGACGAAATTTCTGCAGATGAAAAATCGTGATTTTAATCTCAAGTAAGTACACTGTCATTTAGTGTTTTAGTGATATTTTTTTACGCTTGTAAATGAGAGATTTTGAATTCGATTTCTATCAAAATCGAATTTGAACCATATTATTGTAATTATTATGGGGCTTAATTCAATATCCTACCTCCTTAATGCGGCTAACATTGTTCGTTTGAAAAAAAAAAAAAAAAACAATCTCAAAGTACATTAATTAGGCTTTTGGGCGGTCATCGTAATTTTTTAATACCTTGAGAATTTAAGGGCTTGATATTTTTGCCAAGTGCTGAAAAACCCGATGCTTGTAGATGCTTTCTTTTTCGATGATTTTTTATTTATTTATTTTCCTAAAAATAGACATGTCGTTTTCATAAAAACCGTCACGTGCATGGTGTTTTGCATATACCGCGTACGTAATGGATCAATTTTCGATTTCTAGATACGGGATCCGCCAACAGGATCCTTTCCTGATCTTTTTGACGAGAATCTAAAGATTTATGAATTGTGTCCGTTTATTATATATTGTGCGTTTTTATCAAGTGCTGTTTGTATTTAATTTTAAATAAAAATATTTAAAATGATTTCTAACCTTACGATATACGATAAACGGACACGATTCATGAATTTCAGGATCCTCACAAAGAATATCTAGTGAAGGAGAGATTTTTTAATATGATCGGTACACGGTATGGTATACCACGTGTCATTATACAAATGGTGGGATATATGTGTTAAAAAGTTAATAACTTAAAAATAAAATTTTCCACAACTCTTATTAAAACACGTGTTGTACCACTTGTATTCCGGTTATAATTAAAAATTTCATTCGGTGAAATCCTGCTTCCGGGATACACGCACTTACCCCTAATCACCACCCGACGCGTGTCCCGAATTGCGTGGTTTGGCCAATCGCAGCGAAGGCGGTGACTCCGTCACGCAGCGGTCGGGGACCCTATCATCCGTTTGCCAAATATAAAACCGTCAGAAAACGCTACTGTTTTCGCGGAAGAGAAACTAAGGGCGAGAGTCAGAACTCGCCTCAGAGAGAGAATTCGACCAGGAAGGGGAGGAGTAATCACCTGCGACGCACTTCAGGTACCGGATCTACACCCGCAACCATGGTAACATTCTCGCTGATCCCCTCTGTAATGTTAGATGAAATCATTTGGGTTTTCCAAAGTTTTGTTCTTTGATGCAGATCTGTAAAATTGAATCGAATTGTTTTTGTAGCTGCATGTGAAATTGGGATTATGCTGATGATGTGTGTGTATGTATTTAAATTTGAATTGGGGATCTTTGCAGACGACTTCAAGGCGTTTGGCTGACAGGAAGGTGGAGAGGTTCGAGAAGAACATAACGAAGAGAGGGGCGGTGCCTGAGACGACCGCCAAGAAGAGCAAGGATTATCCAGTGGGCCCTATTCTCCTTGGCTTCTTCGTCTTTGTTGTCATCGGATCATGTATGTGTAACCTCACTCAATTTAGCAGATCACAAACCTGATATGATTATGTCATAAGCTAGAGTTTGCCTAATTGATTTCATTTGAATAATCCGTATAATTGGTAATTGTATCTGGGTTTCAGCTCCCATTTGGGATTCTTGATTTGGTTGGTGTGCATTGTATTGTGTCTGCTTGCCATGGAATTTGTGAAACTTTGAAGGGGATTAAGAAATTGATAGAAAGATTGAAACTTTAAGCACCCATTTTGCATTGCTCATTTGGATTGAAGCCGAAAAGGGTTTCGAATTTGTTTCGATGTCTTGATTTGAGTAAGATGAAAACCGAAACGTAAAGCACTTAATTGGCAATGCTCGTTTGGGTTGAGGCCGAAAAGGGTTTTCGAATTTGTTTCGTTTCCTTGATTTGAATAAGATCAAAACCGAAACGTACAGCACTTATTTGGCAATGGTCATGTGGGTTGAAACCCAAAGGGATGTTTGAACTTGTGACATTGCCTTGATCGAAAATATAAGGGGGGGTTTTGCTAGTTTCAGTTCTTTTTTTCTGTTGCAAATTTGATGTGCATGAATTGATTTTTTGGTGGCGTTGCGATTGTGACCTTTTGATTTTGTGTGGACCAGCTCTCTTTCAGATAATCAGGACTGCTACAAGCGGAGGCATGGCCTAATCAAATCGACGCTGCTGCTGCTGATGCTTTCTAATTTATGAGAGATGGCATGAACCTGTCATGCCATTTACCGTTTGTTAGCGATTAGGAAACTGATGATATACAGATGTGATGTAGTAAGAACTAAAACAGCGGAAGTTTGAATAAAGGACCCCTTCCTCTGCTTCGCTTAATTCTACCTTCTGTTTTTTCGCCCTATACCTTTCATTGTCAATGGCTAGATTAACTTGTATCTCTCGTCAGTGTCACCGAGATATAATCGTGTCTCCGACAATCGTTTCTCTTGTGGTTGAGTTTGCATGACAACTTCAGGGTTGTGAAAACCACTATTTCCCTTGCCCTTGGCAATCCACCACTATCAAGGTTAAGGATGTACAAATTTGAGAATTATTTGTAGTGAAAACGATTCGTTCTTGTAGACGAGATTGTATTTGTGAAATTTGGGCGAAATTTGGGCTCGTTTGATAACCATTAGACGAGGTTGTATCTGTGAAATTTGGGCCCGTTTGATAACCATTAGACAAGATTGTATTGTATTCGCCCAGTTCTACGTTGTCCGAGACAAATCAAGCCTACCAATTTGAAGAATTCGTGTGCTCTTTTGATTTTCCAAATTCCAGTTCCACCAATGAAAATACACCTGCAAACAATATAATGGTAGACAGACGGTTTATTTCAGTACAACCAGAACCAGTTACAAACACAGATGAGATTACATTCATCGAGTGACTGAAACATAGGCATTCTAATCTGTCTTCCGGAAACAAAGCAATGTGTCAAGTTTGTACACAAAAGAGTAGACTCCGGCCGTCATACAACTTACAACACATGGAATTGTCCACCTGATTAAAACAAATAACGAAAATTGTCTAGAAACAAGTTGGCCGGGAAAGCTTGCAACCGACCGTGACGAAACCGATGGCTAAGGAACAGCAGTCGGGGTTGGATAAAATGCGGTGCCACATGCAATCCATTGCCGCTTCCTCCCGTGGGGCACCACGCAAACAGGGACCTTGAGCCATTCCCTGCTCGACACATTATATGTAACTAATCTGTTCATTTGTCTCGACCTCAAGGACAGCATGAGCAAGCCTTTGTTACCCAGGCAAGTCATCCTCACGTGCTTCCCGTAAAAGTCCAAGCACCATATATTTGGCATTCTGTCAACCTCCTTCCAAAGAAGTGTCATTTTCTGAAGCTCCCAAATGCACACGCATGTGGCAGCATTCTTTGATAACAATCCCACGAGCATGATCCGGCCTTCACATTCAGCAAGTGTATGGTCAGTCAGATGCAGCGGGGTGGGAATTATAAACTGCTTCCAAAACCCAGTGGCCATATCATATGACACAATCCCTTCAGGGTCTGAACGCATGAAGTAGAGTGTGCCATCTATTGAAACAGCCTGCGACCGGAAATTCAGCGATAGTGGCAGCTTAACACCTGATGGCATGATTCCTGGACGGGTCCAAGAATTCGTCACTGAATCATAAACTTCATACTTGCCATCACAAACCACCCACAGGATCTTGTAGCCGCCACTGGTTGAACTCCTATTCAAAGTCATCCCCACAGCAATGCGAGACCAGACCTTAACTGACCTGGCTGGCAACTCTTTAAAAGATTGATTCAGCGGGTTGCAAACATAGAAGTTCCTATTACCGATATCAAGAAAACATACCAGTCCCCCTGCTGAAGCCACCGGTAAAACAATTAACTTTGTTGGCAAAGAAGAAAGAGTGGGATGGTGCCACTTCTTCAAGGAAGGGTCATACATGGCTCCAGAATTCACATTTTCATGAGTGATGGTGTAAAACCATGGAGTAGTTTGTGGGACCTCCGCACAATGTTGAGAGAAACTTTCAGTATCCAGCAAGGAATTCCATTTCCTGCATACAGTACGAAATCGGAAATATGTAGCAATGGGAAGCCTAGCAATGACAGCTTCATAAAGGTCTTCCGGGAAATCTTTCCAAATATGCTGTTCCATAGGCCCAGTGGTATTGGTAGTTTCAGAGGATTTACCCCGGGTTCGCTCCTTACGAGATCTCTTGGTAGGAGGAGGCTTGCATGGTTCCATCATCTTAAAACTTCCAGATTTTCCAGCTGCCATCATAAAACTGTAGTAATCATCTGCAGAACCTTCATCAACGTTAATTGGGCACCACCTGTGTAAATAGAAGTAATGATTTAAGTTAATTATATGCTCCCTAATTGAGGAACTTTACTGCAGCTAGAAATTAAATAGGGAAGAAAAATGAAATGTACACATGTAAAGGTCAACAAAGTACATTAACACAAAGACATGAGAAACAATAACAAGTTCTGAACTATTGAGTACAAAGATGTAAAACAAAACCCAATCTGGAGTTCTTATCGAAAAATTGAAGTAGGCAAATCTATGAGGCTGCTTCTACGAGGCCTTATCTACGATTTTATTAGGTTTTTCTTCTTCTAAGAACATATTCAAGCCAACTCCGTGCAGTACAGGCTACAAGCTTTACTGAAACTCTATTAGATCCCTTAGAAAGGAACTTCACTTAGCCTTAAATATTAGTTTAAGTAATCTGCAATAACTTTTAAAAAGAAGCAAGCTAATACTAGAGCATGGAATTGACCACAAATGAAAGATATTGAATATTAAGGACTTAAAGAGAAAGGAAGAGTCATGGATGTAGTAGTACGCAAGACCTATGACACTCAATCAAACACCAAGCATAAGTTCAATTTCAACAGACATGAGGTGAACAAACTCAGAGAACAAGTGAGCAAATTAAGAAAACATTTCGTCCTTTAAATTACTTTAAGAAACATGCTTCTCCCAGTGTGCCGGATTCTGTTGTACAATAAGCTAAGTTTTATACACTTTGAGATTGTATTTTTCATGAAAATTAAGCAATAATCGCTAAATAATGCCAACTTTAGGCAACAAATTGTTGAAGGCTAGAATCCAAGTTAGCCAGTTTACCAGTCAAGAAGTGAAGACAACCAAGCAGAACATGTAATGCTAACCAACAACCTACGCCGAACAGAAAGAGATATAGAACATGTAGGAAGTTTGTTAAACACTAAATATGAAGACGTCTACGATTCAATGGAATATACGTAAGCATACAGCACAAGGAACCAAAAGGTGAAGTTCATGTGAGATATTTCACCAGAAACTAATTGTTTTTATTCAGTACCCTAATGTAATGAACGTCACCCACCAATTTACCCAGCTTGGTCCAAGAAGACTGTTCAGTTGGCAGTCTATGTTTCTGAAAACCCCTCTTCCAACTTTTCCTTCATCTAATCAGATTCTTAAAGTTCAGGGACCTAACTGTTTTCTTGCTACTGCCCTTTTCTGGTTCGCTATGGTAGACGTAATCAAATGGTTTTAAGACAGAAATGGGCAACCAAGAATAGGTTCAGAGTTGGCCATGAGCCTCCCCAAGAACACCGTGAACCCGGAAACCCAACCCCGGCTGGACAGTCAGGAAGACAAACCAGAAAGGGGAGAAAGAAACAAAAATATCAAATATTTGCACCATTGCTACTGTCTATCACTAAATAGTTTGGTAGAGCCCATCAATTTTGTGACAAAGAAATAAGCTAAACATAAAAGGAAAAGAGATGAAGCTCATAGAGTAAAAGGCAGAAATTAAATAACAAATTCCTCAAATATTTAAGACCCAACTCCACAATGGCAAAACCATTTCTGCAAAGCAATCAGACCCAATTTCTCAATCGTAAATGGCAACACAGCAAACAAAGCAAAACAACCAAATTCAGCAAGAAAATCAAGGAAAGCCATGTAATTTACACTTCAGAGGAAGAAAAAGAAACCAAATAAAGCAAACAAGCAAGCAACTCGAAAAAAAATCAGAATACCACCAATAAATCATGAAAAGAAAGAAAGAGAAGAAATTGAAGAGGTGGGTCGGAAAGAAATGGAATTTGAGAAGGCGGGAGAGATCCAGAAGAGCGAGAGAGAGAAGAAAGAAACCTGAGGAGGTGGTCGTGGTGGTGGTCCTGCTGTGGTTGCTGGGAGTGGCGATGGCGGAGCAGAGGAGGAAGCTGTAGCTGAAGTTGAAGATGGTGTTGGTAATGAGGAGGAGGCGGGTGAGAGCCGACGAGCTCCTGAAGCTGACCGATGAGCTGCCTCAGCATGGCCAGCCCTTCCATGCCCCTCACAGGCTCTCCCTCTCTCTTCTCTCTCTCTCTCTCTCTCCTCTCGCGATTGACGACCCAAACTCCCAAACAAAACACACAAAAACCAGACCTTTTATTCTTCTTCTTATTTTTATTTATTTTTATTGAGAATTAATTAAATAAATAACAGGAGAGCAACAGAAAAACCAGAGCCGCCCCTTTCTCTTCTTCCTCCATTCCCCAACCCCCCATAAACCCAACCCAACTTCCACTCTCTCTCTCTCCCTCTCTCTCTCCCCGACCCACTCTTCCTTACCACGTCAGCGCGCCCATACCATTTACCTTGTACTGTCATTACTCCATATAAATCCTCTCATGATTTATGTGTTCTCCATTTCCAACTCTATCCTTCCCCAATGTTTTTTTTTTGAAGTTAAATTTTTTGACCCTAAAAATAATTACTATTTCACTTGTTATAAGGATTAACCAATGTCCTCCTTGAACTTTGATTTTAGCCGATTATCCCCTCGAACTTTTATGAATAACAAATTCCCCCTATAGTTAAATTTTTTAAAAATTTATCCAATTTTCCATCTATCTTGATCCCGGAAACAATACATGAAAACTGTATAAGGGAAAAAAGGTTGAAAAATTGAATGAAAGTTTCTAAAATCTAACGCCAAGGGGGGAATTGGCTATTTGTAAAAGTTCATGGGATAATCGGCAAAAATTAAAATTCAAGGGGGAAATTGGCTAATTAAAAAAGTTTAAAGGAGTAATCGGCTAAAATTAAAATTCAAAGAAAAAATTGACAGATGCATACAAGGTTCAGAGAGCATATCAACAAATACCTCTTTAATTAATATGTCATGGACTTTTGATAGAGTATTGTAAAACTATATACACATTACATTATATAACACAACTGAATTGGTATGTAGGCAGTCAAACTAGAAAAACTTCTTTGCTACAACTGTTCGTGGATTTTGTCGGATGCTCAAAATAAAAGTTTATTGTTTACAAATTGTTTGGTAATCATTTCGTTTTCTTTTTAACTTTTAACCGAAATTAAAATTATATTTGGTATTGTTCTAAATTTTGAGGATGATCTTCATAAATTTTTCTATGATTCTTCATCTTCAGAATTAATGTCAATTACCAAAACCTTCTATAACTATTTTTAACTTTTATTTAGAAACAGAAATAGTGACCAAACAAGTTTTATTTTATTATTAATTTTGTTTTGTTACATATTATTTAAACTTTGAAAATAAAGTGGTTTTTTTGTTGATGGGTATAAGAGTAAATTCATAAGTTTAACATAGGGTTTTGCAATCAAGTGTGTGAACGCAAAAGATTTTAACTTGATGATGGTCAAGGAAACCACGGAAGAGAGCGAACTTTTGAAGTACCAAAAAATAATAGCTTGGCTTTTAGAGATAATCAACGGCTGTGGTTAGATCTGGGAAGGCTCTTTCCTTGTTGCCCTTGTTCCACGCACACCGCATGATTGTCCCTCCCAACACTTTTCCCGTTTTATGATGAATTTTGTTAGAATTATTGAAGTGCCCACCCCTACTTAATGCCTTTTTCAGTCTTTTCATCAACTCATTTTCCATAATTATCACAATACCCCTCAAGTGCTTATCATTATTCATCTTTCTTGTTTTCCCTTTTCATTTTTGTACTAAAAAAAAAGAGATTACAAACTAAAGCCCTAGGGCACGACACACCAAAATGTTAAAATAAAGCTTTTTAGTCAAAACAGTTTTTAAGTTTGGCAGAACTCCCATTTTGATTACAGAGTGGTATTTGAGATTGTTCATCGTCAATTATTTTGGTCATTCCGTGAAAAGTCTCCGTTAAATTGATAATAGTTTTTTCAAATCAACCCCTCCACTTAAACTGATGATTTTATCAATTTGATGGAGATTTTTCATAGGATGACCAAAATGATTGACAGTGGATAATCTCAGGGATCATTTCTATCGATTTTAAATCTTAGGAAACAAAGTGAGGAGTTTTGACAATCTCTTGAACCATTTTAAATAAACAGAATCCATATTTGAGAAACTAAAATATTATGACTTAAATGAGACACAAGTTCGCCAAAAAGTTGGTTTTTCGAAAAATACGTTTGAAAGTTACTTCATTTTTCTTTTTATGTAAAATTACTCAAAATTTTAGATATTTTTTCATACGTGCGACATTACAAAAGACTGAAATTCAGCCTCTGCGCACAAGATGCTTGTAATTGCTTGAACTGCAAATCTTTGCAAACTAATCAATTTTACTTTCAAGACGCTAAATATATTATATGTTGTACATCAATTTATTTCTACAATAAGATTAATCTGAGAGTTCATTCATATGAAAAGACGATAATGATTTTGAAAGCAAAAGTATATAACAATGGAAAATGCAAATCAGCAAAGTTGAAAATATTCTTCCTTCATGCGTAATCAAAAGCCATAAATGACGCTGATAATAACTACCACTAAAAACATGAAGAAAAGAAAAGTTGAAAGAAAAATTGCATACATTCCCCCTCACAACATTGGTTGAAATGAGTGATGGCAGCAAACCTTGTCTTAAGCAATCAAAGTCATACAAGTTCCCCACTGAAGAAAGATCACATACGCAAATGTCATTATACAAGTGGATGGATATTTGAAAAAAAAAATCTCTCTACTTATATAATATGTGACGTATCGCCTAATGTTCTAGACACATTAAAAAATATCTCTCTGCTGAAGATTAATTCTACTCTTTGAAGCAGGGGATACCTCAGACTTCGAAAAAGAAAAAAAAGAAGCAATCATACAATTCATTTCCTAAGCAAATGGTCAATCTACTCATTCGATCACACATCATGAAGTGACTAATAAGTGAGGGGATGTTTTCCTTTTCCTTTTTCCATTTTATCAAATCACATCTTAAAAGTAGGTTAATCAAGTTTCAATTAGATTAGCTTAAATTAAGCTAAGAAAGATTGATTTAAATGTTATTAACCACATGTGATAGTGTTACTTGAGAAATGAGCATATGTTACAATTTGGTGACTATTGTAGTTATTTGAAAGTTTCTTTCTCCTAAGACTCGTGGGGCTTTCCTTTACCTACTAATTTGTTACACCCCCAACTCCAGAGTCATGCGCCAACTGATGCAATAAGTACCAATTGCTTAAACCCAAAACATAGCTACCTAAGCTAAATTGTTGCTTCAATGCAGCACTTGAGCCTTGCCGAATTAACTTGTCTTCCTATAACACTCATTCTCTCTCTAGAAGCTTTATAAATGGAGAACCATTTTGTGAGATGTGAGACAAGCGGGCGATCAACATGATTCTATTGTGCAAAGTGTTAGAAAATTAAGCGAGTCGTTTGATTGCCTCACATTCTGCACAAACATAAGATCATCTCAATCGTTCTAATGTCTCACATTCAGCAAAACGATATCTACTAAAGTAATTTTTCTCTCTCGCCTCCTTGTGTATATTAGAGACAATTTATAATGTAATTATATCATAATTCGATTCCGTAACAGTCCAACTACACAACTGAACAAATTGAGGGAGAAAAAAGTGGGAAAATGGTAAGGAAGGTAATTAGGTATGGGGGAGGTGGAGAATTTGGTAAGGGAGGAAGTAATGATTAAATGTGGAGGCTTAAAGTTAAGGTGAGAGGGAAGGTTTTGAAAATTAATGATTAGGTTTGGCAAAACCAAGGGGAGTGAGCGAGTGAGATGCGGATGCGGTTTTGTAATCATTTCACATGCTCTCCTTCTTCTTCTTCCCTCCTTGGGAAGGACGAAAGAAAGAAGACACTGGGTCATTTTGGTCATTTGGGTGGTTACTGGTGGGTATAAATGGTATAATTGTCCATCATCACATTCATGATCGATTCCCTTCTTTTACGTGTGCATTCCATTCCCTTTCCCCGTGTGACATTGCTTTTTTGAATCTTCACTCAACCCTTTCCATTTTCCTCCACTGATTCCGCGCCATTTCATCTCAACCCATATAAATGCAAACTTTAGGTTGGGAGTAGTCCATCCGACTCTAGCAGCATGACCGTCTTGCCATCATGTGACACCAAGCGTAATATGTGACATGTCTCGAATATTTTGTATGTGCAACAATAAGAATTGATATATGAAAGATAAAACTGATCGATGATGTAGTTTTAAGTGATATATAGAGAGTTTTCCTTGTTTGTTGGGTTAGTTCATGTGCGACACTTTTTGTATCGGATTCATGTCGATCGTACTGAATTTCTTATTTCAGCAAAAAGGATTTGTAATTGTATTACATCAAGCTTCCCAATATTTTCAATCACTAGCAATATAAGATATGTTAGGAAACCACATCATTGTAATGTCCATTAGTAGATGCACGTGAGAGTCAGTCCATGTAGTTGCACCCACTGTCCACAATTGTTGCCTATGAAACCGTCCAATGTTTCTTTGATGTTCTTCTTGAGCATGAAGCAACAAAGGCAAGATGCTTAACAAAATGTCTTAATGAGGCTAAGACATAATAGATAGCCAATGACAACAAGTCAAAGTGGTGTGCGAGCTTTGTCTTGCTCCCGATAGGAAAAAAGAACATTAGAATTAGATGCCTCATTTTAGACATTTATAGATTAAACATTTATTACTTTCTAACTTTTGATTAAGGTGCTTTTACCTTTGATTAAACTCTATATTCCAGGTATATTTTCAACTTAAGTGTTTTTTTTTTTTAAATTCATTTTAAATTCACTTTCATATAAAAAATGCTCTCAATAATATTAATCAATTTATTGCTATTTTTTATGATATCTCATCTCTTCCTCAATTTAAGGATTCAATTATATCTAGTCGGATGAAGATTAATTGGATGGAATATAATTTTTTTTTTTTTAAATTTTCAACTCAGCATTTTATACAGATTGTAAAAAAAAAAAGAGTTCTTTTACAATTAAAACGGATAACACAACACGTACTAATAACTTGACAAAAACTGACCGCATGATGTACGATGAACACAAATAGTACTTCACAAAAATTGACCGCACGATGAGAATTCCAAGGATCCGTGAATCATGTCTGTTCATCGTACATTGTGCGGTTAGAAATCATTTTAAATATTTTTATTTAAAATTAAACACAAATAGTACTTGACAAAAACTGACTGCACGATGTACGATGAACGAATACGATTCATGGATTCCCAGGATCCTCATCAAAATGATCCAGAGAAGATCCTGTTAGTATCTCATAATTGTATGCTAAAAGGATGTTTGAGTATTTTTAGAATTCAAATAAAAAAAATATTTGAGTTAAAAAAAATATATTTTAAACGAATTGTGATAAGTTAAGATGTTTGTTGTGGTTCTAGGAGATTTGTGAATTAATGGGTAAATTAAATATAATAAAAGTCATAATTTTTAATAAAAAATTATTAGAAAAAAGTTTGATCAAAATTTTAAAAGTTGTAGATGTTTGATTAAAAAAATTCGAAATTAAGGCGCCTATATCAAAAGCCTCAATTCCTAAACGCGCCACTAATAAAATCATAGCATTACTCATAATATAATATTATTTTGAACTCAACTACATCATACTATATCCAAATTGAATGAAGAAAAACGAGAAGGAAAAGGAGGTTACAACCTAATTGCTACATACTGTCATCTGCATCCTGCATTGGTTGCCTAATGCCTACATGCCATGAACTGTCTTCTCCCTTTTGTTAGGTCTAGCATCACCAAACCGTTGTAAAAGCATTAAACCTTCAAGACTTTCAACAACGTTCTTCATTGTCGGACGGTTTGTCGGGAAAAATTCAACACAACGCATCCCCAGCTCTGTAATTGCCGTACCATCTTCAACAACATAACTCCAGTCTTCCAGTAAGCTACTGTGGACAAGTGAGCAATTGGGCTTATAATCCTTCTTGGCCCAGTACTGGACTAAATTGTCCAGGCCCAAATGGGGTTTTTCCACACTCTCTGGCTCAAACCCTCTCTTGGCTATCAGGCCCAAGAGAATCACACCAAATGAGTACACATCACAGCTTGTATGCCAATACCTACCACCTGAAAAATGAAACGCGTTTTGTTTTTCATCAGCTTTGAACAGTTCTTCTCTCGATTGAAAGTCCATTTTTTTTTATTAAATAACAGACTGTCGATATGGTGTGAGATAAATCATCACTAACATTTAGTAGATGATATTCCAATGAAAAAAAATTCAACGTGTTACTGATACATATAGATACAAAATTATAAGAATCGAACAATCATGTGCGGATGATTTTTATAGTTTTGAAAAGAACCTTTAGCAGCAAAAAATGGGTCAACAAAGCCGATGGACATTGGTATCTGCTTTTTTGGTGTAGTCATTTCACCATTGATTCCTCCACTAATGAGTCCAAAATCAAATAATTTTGGCTTGCAATCCTAAAAGACACCAAAAGTCGTGAAGATATTTATTAATTTCAATGCAAATTTGAAACAGAGAAAAAGATTGGTCTGAGGTCCAAACCCGATCCAGAATTATATGAGATGCATTCGTATTTAGCACCAAATATGGCTTCTCCTTGTTGTGTAGAAATTCAAGCAGGCCTGCTAATTGCACAAGCACATTCACCCTCTGAACCCAGTTGAGATAATCTGCGTATAAATTTAAGCAATTAGAGCGGAAAGCGATTATGAGCAGAAGTGTTCCCTATATTAGCGGAAAGCGCCTATGTTAAACACTATCAGCAACGTATTTGATTATATCATATAAACTACTTGGTAACCCACAAGAAATTGAAGGTTCAAATCATAAACTGAACTTACCTTTGTCAGTCAAATTATGCAGTGTGTCCCATGGATTGAGGTCATAAACAACACCCTTCACTTCTTTTTCACAGCAGTAACCAATCAATTTCACCAAGTTTGGATGACCATTTAAAGTGGGATGTGTCAAAAATTCGACTTCTTCCTGCAGTAAAAACCAAATCATCAATTGGTAAACCCCCCAAAACCAAAAAACTTTAAACTTTCACAACTTACCTTAACCACCAGAAACTCATCATGCATGAGTTTACTGCAGCCTGCTGATTTTTCATCCCATATTTTTACTGTAACATCTCGAACTTGATCTGTTCCAGTAAATCCTTGCCTAATCCGTCCTCGATATAATTTACCGAACTGGGTAAATCCAATCAGGTTTTTCTCGTGAAAATCATTGGTGCATGCTTTCAAGTCCCCAGATGTAAACACTGTAATGTTTGCTGCAGAATCCATCAGCCATAGAAAAAAATTCAGATGATAATTGAGCAGAAAAATAGCTATACTAGGCCGGTTATATATATATAATAGCTAGCTCAGCGGCCACATTTTTTACTCTATCCAAACTTCAGAAAAATCAAAGACCAAATATAAAAAGAAAATTAGACGTTGACAATTCTACGTTACTCTTCCTAATGATATACAACGAGATTTTATGTAATTTTTTTATGTTTTGTTTGAATCTCGGATGATGTCGCTTTGGTTGTGATAACTCCAACGGGTGACTTATACTGATTCCACGGTCCAACGCATAAACAATAAACATCGAATTACGACGAAGGTGTACCTGATTCCATTGCTACAAAGCTAGAGAGACGGTATGCTGCTCTATGTCACAGAAAACCAAATGGAAGCCTACAACAAATCGTATTGTAGTGGCTACAACGGCCGTATCCTAATTAACCTAATGTAAAATCCGAACGTCATTAAATGTTTGCCTAATTATGCTCAAACCAAATCCGAAGTCATTAATGATGTAATGTGCAGTTACCCTAATAGCATTCCTGTCACATCTCAGTCTGCATGGTAAGATATTGTTTGCTTTGGGCCACGCCCTCATTAATTTGTTCTTGGGTTTCCATTCAAAACGCGTCTTACGTGGACATGTATATATAAGGCACATCACCTCCTCTTCCCCGGGCGATGTGGGATCTCACCCCCCTTAGGGGCCCGACGCCCTCATCAGCACACTTCCGGCCGAGGAGTGGCTCTGATACCAAATTGTCACATCCTAGTCCGCATAGTAAAATATTATCCGCTTTGGGCCACTCCCTTACAGATTTGTTCTTGGGTTTTCACCCAAAACGCGTCTTATTATAGGGAGGTGGGCATGTAAATATAATGCACATCACCTCCTCTCCCCCGGTCAATGTGGGATCCCACAATTCCGATCAAATTCGATTTTCGCGAAGATAAAATTTAATTTGCTGTGTTCTATAAGAAAACTCTCGAAATATGGAATATGCATAACAAGCAAAGGGGGTGATAATTTTTTTTTCCACATGCCAACAGCATTGCCCTTGAAGTTGAACTGCTTGCAAATAGGTTGTGACAGAAACATGATTTAACAAGTTCTTACCAACCAAAAGACCATGGAAAATCTCACCCTCACTTGTTTTCTAACAACATCTCCTTATTTAACACACTAATCCCATCTTAATTTTCCTTTAAATCCACTAATCCAATGGTAAATCTCATACCCTCACTCGTTTCAACCTCCCTTTGGCTTCCATTAGCTCCCTTCACATATTCATCATGGGAACTTTAGTGCAGAACTCAGCCCAAGAGGATGAACATATTTTCCGAAGCCGGTCCCCACCTGTCCGAGTACCTGATAACATCACATTGCCAGAATTTGTGCTCCAAAATGCAGAATTATACGCTGGAAATGTCGCGTTTGTGGAGGCTGTGACCGGAAAGAAAATTACGTACGGCGAGGTGGTTAGAGACACAAGGAGGTTTACTAAAGCCTTAAGGTCTCTTGGCCTTAGAAAGGGGCAAGTGGTGGTGGTTGTTCTCCCAAATGTGGCAGAGTATGCCATTGTTGCCTTGGGAATAATGGGTGCTGGTGGTGTGTTTTCGGGTGCAAATCCGTCAGGGCACGCGTCCGAAATTAAGAAGCAGGTTGACGTTGCTGATGCCAAGATAATTGTAACAAATGGTGCAACCTATGAAAAGGTAAAGCACATTAATTCTTTTATTTTGAATAATGCAGGCATTTAGGATCACATAAAAATCTAAGCCTTTTAAGTTGAGAATTTGAGATGATCAGGTAAAAGCTTTTGGGGTACCGGTAATTTTGCTTGGAGAAGAAGTTATTGAAGGTGCCATGAACTGGGAACACCTACTTGAAGCAGCAGACCGTGCAGGAAACAGAATTGATAAGGAGGAGCCGAAGCAGACTGATCTATGTGCCCTTCCCTTCTCATCAGGCACAACAGGATTGTCTAAGGGTGTAATGCTGACTCACCGAAACCTAGTAGCGAACCTCAGCTCCACGCTCTTTGGAGTAACGCCGGAAATGATTGGTAAAGTCACTGTGCTAGGCCTAATTCCATTCTTCCACATCTACGGGATCACTGGAATATGTTGTGCCACGCTCCGAAACAAGGGAAAAGTTGTGGTGATGGGAAGATACGAACTTCGAACATTTCTTAACGCATTGATCTCACATGAGGTCACCTATGCGCCCATTGTGCCGCCAATCATTTTGAACTTAGTTAAGAATCCAATTGTTGATGAATTTGATCTCAGCAAGCTCAAACTCCAGGCAATTATGACTGCAGCAGCTCCTCTTGCACCCGAAGTCCTCAACGCTTTCGAAAACAAGTTCCCCGGCGTCCAAGTCCAAGAGGTGACACATTGTGACAAAACCCTACGTTTGTAGCAAAAAATTGTAATAAAATATTGTGTGTTTGTGCTGATTAATAATTTTTAAACTTGCAGGCATACGGATTGACTGAGCATAGCTGCATCACACTCACTCATGCAGGACCAGGTCTTGTAGCAAAGAAAAACTCAGTAGGGTTTATTCTTCCGAATTTGCTAGTCAAATTCATTGACCCCGACACCGGTCGTTCCCTACCGAGAAACACACCCGGTGAACTTTGCGTGTTGAGTCAATGTGTAATGCAAGGTAAAGGATAGAGCTTTCGGATTGATTTGCATCAAACTGAATATGGCTTCTTTTTTTTTTTTTTATCGGAAATAGCATCTGTATGGTTCCAAACTCGTTATTTCAGTTCAAAGACTATTCGCGATAAAAAAGCCAGCTGAATAATGTCAATAGATTTCATGTCACAACTGTAACTTGATTTTCAGGTTACTTTAACAACGAAGAGGACACTGCCCGGACTATCGACAAAGATGGATGGCTTCACACCGGAGATATTGGCTACATAGATGATGATGACAACGTCTTTATCGTTGACCGGATCAAGGAATTAATCAAGTACAAAGGTTTCCAAGTAAGACGGACGACTTATAATTAATAGATTAACTAGACTAATTAATCAACATTGCAAAGCGTTTGCTTGACTAATTATGTGTGCGACATTTGAAGGTGGCTCCTGCTGAACTTGAGGCCATTCTTCTCAGTCATCCCTCGGTTGAAGATGTAGCAGTAGTCCCGTAAGTTTATTTCCATAAACCGAAACAAAAACTTCTGTTGTTCATATTCATTGTTAGAAATTTCCTATGCACGACGCCCATCCTTTGTTAAACGATGGACTTTGCATCCACAATGTGTCAATAACACATCGTTATGCTTAGTTATTGACAATGCTGTCTGCTTATGTTATCGGCACTTTTTTGCAGGCTGCCGGACGAGGAGGCAGGGGAGATTCCGGCAGCAAGTGTTGTGATCGCAGCTGGTGCAAAAGAGAGCGAGGAAGAGATAATCAACTACGTGGCCTCAAACGTTGCACAATACAAGAAAGTGAGAGTGGTGCACTTTGTGGACACAATTCCAAAATCGCCCTCTGGGAAGATCATGAGGAGGCTTATCAAGGAGAGCATGATAGAAAAGATCAAGGCATCTAAGCTCCACTGCCTTAACTAATGTCATGGTTTAAACTACCATATCAGGGCCAAAGCCAATACACACGGACATTAACGGGCCTAATCTATCATGACCAACTAGGTTGATTGTTGTTGAGATGTGATTAGCAAACTAAGCTCTATTACGATTATATATATCTGGTTTAAAACGATTAATTAAAATGTCGTTTACCTTTTATCTATATTACAATACGTTAAATAATTCACAAGACGTACCACCATATTTTGTTTTGGTGGGTAGGATACTAGGAGGGTTTGGTTAGGTTTATCTGATTTTACAGCTTAACAAGAAGAATTTAAGAGACAGGGCCGTACTGTTGGTGAATGGACCACACACGAGTGATGCGCGGGACCAGGCCATGGAACAAGTCGACTAGTCGAGGGCAAGGGCGAAGCCGGGGGCGGTGAGGTTCCACTTGGTCTGCACCTGCACACGTACCTTGATGCAGGATCACACATATGTCCATACCCAAAAAAAGTTCCTACTTGAAAATCAACACATCTTGGCAACTCTCTTACCCAGAGTCATTTCTTTTAAATTTATAAATCTGATATATAAGTAGAAATAATCTAGTAAAAGCTTATAATTATAGAGAAGTGGTATTGACACTCTAAAAATCTCATTCAACACTCCTTACAAGTGTATTTTTCTTTTCAAATATAGAAAGTTTGGAGTGTAGAATAAGATTTTTGGACTGTCAATAACAATTCTCTAATTATATTGTAAATTGTATGCATTGTTTTAAACATCCTCGTCTAAGTGCTACATTGTTGGCTATCGTCCGACTTAATCTACAGGTGTTTGAAAATTAAGAAATGACGTTTAGCTTGTCTAGACTCGCTTAAGTCGCGACTCTCACTTATACAGAAAATTGATAGCTTTCATTTTGCATTTTATTTTTTCAATAAAATGTAAGAGACTTGTTGAGCACTCGAATAAACACTCATTATATGCTTGTTCCTCATGTTCTCAATATATTTTAATACTTTATAATTTATAGGTTATCTTATTTTGCAATTTATGTATCTCAATACAATTATGTATCTTTTTAAGTATAAATAGACACTTATTTATATATGATATATAATAAATTAACTTAAATCTGTCTAGGCCCCGCTTAGACACTTAAGTGCTAGGTCTCAACCCGCCATCCTACTAGCGCCTAACGTCTAGCGTCTTTTAAAATCTTGATTGTATGATATTGACATATTGTCATGTAGTATGATTAACTATGTGATTCAAGCGAGACTAGAATCGAAATTCGTATCAATCAGTGCAATATAGTCCAATCGTGTCAAAAAATAGTCAATCACTCACACATAGTAGATGGGGGAATATATTTCACTAATGATAAATTCTTGATAAGGTGGACGATGAATTTATACTTTAGTGTACATTATTAATAGATAAAACAATCGTTAAAACAGAAGTAAAAATTATGACATGTGGCGCTATATAGCGTATAATAATTGGTTTATACATTTCTTCAGACTAGTCAACTTTGGAAAGTAAGCCTTTTTTTCTTTTGATAACGATAAATTTTCTATGGATTTGTTTTCGCCTATCGCTATTCATTAAATTCAACACAATATCAAAATAAAATATATCACTAAGAGAAATAGTTTTCTCACGGAAAGTATCAAAGTGTTTTTGCTAAGAATGAAAGTGGCCATCGCACATCCCATATCTCCTTATGTTCCTTTTGTTTTAAAAAGAGATTTTCATGGTTTCGTCGCGAATGTCCATCTTTTTAGAAACAAAAAATATTTACAGAAATATTTAAACTTTCTTAATCACTATCATGTGATTCACCCATTTCTTCGGGTAACTTGAGATTTTGAAAACGATGAACACCACCAAGTGGTAGCAATGAACAGCAGTGAACGTGCCCACGCGTTCCCTTCTCAGCATGAGATCTTGAAATTCGATTTAATTAATTTATCGGATTAGTTAACTAATTGTTTCCATTTGCCAACCTCAATCCACACGAACTTATTGTTCATTACACACAAGTTGGTTTAGCCAAAATTAGTTAATTATATCCCATCATTACTTAAAGTTAAAACAAATATTTGGGCAAAAAAAAAAAAAAAAACGGACAGAGATTCTAGCCGGATCTTCCTCACCAAGTTCTAAGGATCCGGAAATCCTTAAGATTTGATGGGGTGAGATCTGACTAAGATCTCTGTCCAACAAAAACAAATCCAACTCTCATCACTCTCTTTTGTCCAACCAATAAATTATTCTTACTTTAATCACATCCCCTTTTGATTTTATGCATCTTAATTTAAATTATTAATTATGATTATCCCAAATCCTAACCTAGGTAGAGATTTTACGGTGTATTTGGAAAAAAAAAATTCCTATATTTATATAATAATATGCGACGTACTGTTTCGTGTTCTAGACTCATTAGAAAATCTCTCAACATGAGGACCCTTAGAAATTTTTTTTTTAATTTTCGCAATCGCTTTGTAAATTAGTTCAAGTTGTTAATACAAGACACAATCCTTAGTTTACTTAATCTAACCAAAATTCCCAAATCAAGAGCACTCCACATGACATTGTTAACGTCTTTTGTGGTAGATTATTATATGACCACACTCCAACCTTGGAAACATGTATGGGAATTTGGGAATGGGATGGTAAGTTTTAGTTTCTTTACCATTTTAATAGTACCAATAATAGTTACTTAGTACTACGGTATAGTGATATTTTTCTTCTTTGGTAAGTGAGAGGTCTTAGTTTCGATTCTCGCCAAAGGTAAATTTTGACTACATTATTGTGAGCTTATTGTAAGACTAGATCCGTCATCTCCTCCTTCGTATAGATAATATTATTTGTTAAAAAAAAAAATAGTACCAATAATAAAAGTTTAGGTTGACCATAACAGACTACTAGTCAACTTCATGAAACACCAAATAATTGAGAAAAACTGTAGTAATTAATAATAAAAAGAAAAGATAGCCGATAGACAACTTTGAAAGTGAAGTTGTTTAAAAGGTTCCATTGTTAGATCCCACATAGTTAGGGGAGTGGATCCTCTATGCCTTATATATATATTCACATCTCTACCTAGTACGAGATTTTTTGGGAGCTCATTGGCTTCAGGTTCCATCGGAACTCCGAAGGTAAGTGAGTTCGAGCAAGAGCATTTCCAGGATGCGTGACCCACTGCGAAGTTCTTGTGTGAGTTCCCAGAAACAAAATTGTGAGGGTGTGGTAGGGGCCCAAAGCGGACAATATTGTGCTATGGTAGAGTTGAGCCCGGGATGTGGTGGGGGCTCGGGCCGAGATGTGACAATTTGGTATCAGAGCCAATTCCTGGGCGGAAGTGTGCCGACGAGGACGTCGGGCTCCTAAGGGGGGTGGATTGTTAGATCCCACATTGCCCATGAGAGTGGATCCTCTATGCCTTATATGTATATTCCCATCTCTACCTAGTACGGGGCTTTTTAGGAGCTCAATGGCTTCAGGTTCCATTGGAACTCCGAAGTTAATTGAGTTTGGACGAGAGCATTCCCAGGATGGGTGACCCATTGAGAAGTTCTCGTCTGAGTTCCCAGAAACAAAACCGTGAGGGCATGGTCGAGGCCCAAAGTAGACAATATCGTGCTACGGTGGAGTTGAGCCCATAATGTGGTGGGGATCCGGACTGGAATGTGACATCCATGACACTCTAACATCAAAAGGAAATAAAACGATAAAAGTACAAAAATACCCAAAATAATTAAAAGTAGTTTTTGACCCACTAATCGTTTTAACAACTGAAATCCATTGTACATCATGTGTAAATAAGCAACAAGTTTGATTCGTCTCGTCATTTTTTCAAACAGGCTTTGAAAACACCAAGCAACAATATTCATGGTAAAAAATACTATTTACGTTGAAGTTCATCTATCTGAGTTGCTCTTTTAATCATGCGTCAATACTTTTTACTAACCAAATGTTAATTTAACTACAACAAATCATAATGAACCACAATTTAGTATTGAACTCACAGGGACACAAAATATACATCATTCTCATATTTGTGTGAATCAAATTTAAGACGCCCAACCTAAATAAGATGATTAAAAACGTTAACTCTACATCTGAGGTTTGTATTCGAACATTTCTTCTCCGATATATACAAGAAAAAGAAAAAAAAGTCGGTGACCATTCGGTTGGACGGGTGAACCGGACGAACCGGAGAGTCTTTCTCCAATTATTTTTCTTTTCTTTTTCGGACGCTTTTTCCCTGTTGGGTTTACCGAGAGAAAGTAAGAAGAAAAAGGGTATAAAAGACAAAGCTGCCAAAGACCCAAAAGCAAAGGAAAAGTTTGATGTCTCTCGCTCCTCTCTCTTTCTCTCTCCGCTCTCCTCTCGCTCACTGGTCAATTCTTACCACCAAAGATTGAAACTTTAGGAAAGGGAATGGGGGATTACTGCCAGAAAATGCTTTTCTTTCTTTAATACCTCAAAAGCTCCTCTGCAACCTTCCCCAAATCACCATGTAAGTTTTACTAATTACAACCTCAGCTCGCAATCATTTTCCAATTTTTCACTTTTCTCCTTTTCCCTCTGTACTCGTAGCAGTTCATGGTATAAAAGTTGGGTTTTTTTTAATTTTTATCTTTCTGCTGAATGGAATCAATATGTATGCTGTATGTTATATTTTGGAAGTTTTGGGAAACGATGAGTCGCCGCGGCTGTGATTGTGCCGATATTAGATTGGTATCTGTTTTTGGGGAAACAAGAGAGCAATTATGGCGATTGAAGCTGCTGGAATTTCTAATTTTGGAAAATTAGTTTTAGATTTTTATTTATTTATTTCTTTCTTCCTGTAATGTATTTAAATTAGTGGGAACTGAAATTTTATTTTATATTTTTACCGTATATTGTACTGGAAAATTATTGAGCTTCGTTGGTACATGCATAAAAGGCTAAAAGCAATTTCTTTGGGGGTCTGGTTCCAGATTTTGTATAATTAAAATAAAAAAATTATTGGGTATTTAGTA